ACTCTGCATTCGCTTTCCCTTTCGTGCTTTCCTCGATCGATCTCTGCCTTCTCTTTAAATCTTTAAACCTTCGAAACACGATTTATCTCAGCCTGTATATACAAGTTTTTACTCTGTTTTATATTTTTTACAATAATTTTAAATTCGACTTAAATAGTTACTGCAGTGAAGAAGCTTTCATTCAAGAGAAATAAACTTGTGCCAGTGTTTCATGACCGTGTTAGCATCAATGGGTTACACTCACCTTTTTCCTCGTAATGTGGAATATCTCCAGTTGTGTCTTTGCCCCACTTTCTCCTTTGTGCATTGACCTGGTTAAAGTCCAATGCGTGTTTGGTGATATTTAAGCTGACCATGCCTACAGATTACCTGAAAACATATGACAAATGTTCTTTTGATAGTTTGAATACAGGGCGACAGTTGCACAAATGCAATTCCTGAGACTCTTGAGTAAACGGGTTTACCAGAACATAACCTACTCGTGCTACAAAGAAGAGGAAGGCGATTGTACCATTCAACTTCAAGGAGAAAATGAAATGGAATTTAGATCTTCCGAACAAACCAAGCCCAGCTTCATTCACACGGATCCTAAGGTACAGGCACACTATAAATGAATATCAGTCTTTAGCTAAGATAAATGAGAGAAATAGTAAGCTAAAACTGAGCGTAAGCTCAAGTCACAGAGACAGTTTGCTGGTACTCATTTCCTACTCCCAGGTGGAGATTTCCACCGCCTTGTCGTGTCCGGTCTATATTTCTTCCCGAAAGGAACAAGGAGAAGCGCGAACTCCTTTCCCGAACAGCCGCTGGTAATCGAGCCTAAACTGGAGACGGACACTGAGAGGGCCTAAGTGTTCTTCCAATGAACACAAACTATTGATACCGCCACTGCTTAACCCGAGTCGCTCGTTTTGAGGTTCAACACTTTAACTTTCTGCACGCCGTTCTTGATGCTCGACAGCATATACATTTATTCATTCCATCGTTTTCCGACAATCGATTCATGTTTCCATTCTTCGATTTATCCACCCGTCCATCGATCTGTCCGTCTATCCTTGAGCCTTCCTTGCGTTCTTTCATTCTTTCGATCTTCTCTTTCGTTTGTTCTCCCGTTCACTCATTTACTCTCATTCGTTCATGTGTTCTTTCGTTCGTTCGTTCGTCCGTGCTTTCGCTACTCCGCTCGTTCTTTCGCTCGTTCCCCTGCTTGTTCGTTCGTTCGTCCTTTCTCAGTTCATTTGTTCGTTCGCCCTTTCGATCGTTCGTTCGGTTGTTTATCTGTTCATTACATTTGTATTTTCTGCAGGAGAAAGATCAAGGCAGTCGCCTGGCAGTAATGAAAATAAACACCAAACGCAAGGACGCTCTACCGATAATAGACATTGCTCCAACGCACATTGGAAAAACCGGAGAACCATTTCGCCTCGAAATCGGACCTGTCTGCTTCATGTTCTAAAGTTACATTTCTATAACGTAGCTTCTTTCACTTTTCATTCAGTGAAATAAATTCCTGTAAGTCAAAGGCTTAACACGTACTAAATTTCTCGAACTCTTTGTAAAATCATGTTATAATATTTTGTAGTATAGATAGCCTTTCTTCAACGTCTAAGAATGAAACTTGTCAACAAATTATTTGTGTCGAATGAACTTTCTACAGCGTTATTTATATTATAAAGGAAGTTCAATATCCGTTAATGAGAGCTTTCGTTTAATTTCACGACAGCAGCTGTCTACAGATCGTTTGCTGTAACGTCTTGAGACCTCAATCAGCTTCCATCAGTTGTATTTGCCAACACGGTATCTTTGTACTGTATGTGTGGTGCAAACGTACATCTCATTTTGAAGGAAGCCTTCAAATATTACGGTAAAGATTAAAAAAAACAAAAACAAAACAAAACAAAACAAAACAAAAAAAACATTTGGGGTGAATTGAGGGGGATTGCAGAAAGGATAACATCTTTCTGAAAAGTGTATCATCTATGACGTAAAGCAGTTGTTTTGGTAATTTCTCTTCATAACCGGACCAGAAAAGAAAGGAAATCATCCCAAAGTTTTCTTTCAAAACTTGAAACTCCAAACAAAACACAAGAAGACAAGCAGACATGCCAGGTTAACGCAGACTATTGACCGAAGATCGATCGATGAACAAAGTGTAAGCGTGCTGAAATCGACATGGAATTGCCGATAGGTACTGAGTTTTGTAATGAAGTTCCGGTGGTTTATCTTAAAAGTGAAAACCTGTTTGTTGGTTTGTTTGCTTGTTATTTGTCTGTTTGACGACTTTGGGTTTTGATATATTAGCTACTAGACGAACTTGATCGATGTGGGCTGATGCTTAACGGAATGTGACATATGCGACTGGTAAAACTCAGACAGCCTTGAATAAAGAACGGAAAGGGTCAAGTTATTTTCGGAGATTTACATTTGGACGTGACCGACGTCATTTAGATTCTTTGGTTACAGTAAAATACCCACCTGAAACTTTAAATGCTTTTGTCTGAGCAAACGGCTATACAGTTACAAGGACAGCAAATTCTTGAAGTTCTAGGCGGAAGGGTGAAAAAAAAAAAAAAAAAAAAAAAANGCATTACTCTGGCTTTGGCCTGGAGCCAGCTGGGGAAGAGAAGACCAGATCGAACCAAAATAACATGGAGGAGAATTGTTGAGGAAGAGAGACGCGCAGGTGGGTGACAATCGTGGCACAGCTACTGTCAGAACACTAGAATTAAACTGAGAAGTGGATGGAAGGAGAATGTCAAAGCCTTATATATGTGCATAATGGCATAGAGAGAGATAGGTATAGGTATAACTACTCTAGCTCACATAAATTTGTTTAAAACTGCAAATACTAAATCCAAAAACAGTAGGGACCTTTTTGGTAATTGGTTATGTATTTTGACAATGATACCTTGAGTCTTCTTTCCCCCTCTTCTCTTACCAATGTCCTCACCACAATGCAAGAAGTTGGGTACTCCAGTTCAGATAATTAAATAATTAAGCTTGGCAATTATACCTTCACGATAAAGCTCGAACCTTATGGTATGAGCAAACGTAATGGACTCAAGTCTACACGTAGTTCACTTTTTTTGGTGTACGTTCAATGACATCTATACTCTAGGAATGCCGCCAAGCGAGATATTTACCTTTTCCTGTGACATTACCAACTCAGCTTTTCGAGATCGACTGGAATACTACCTCCAGTGAGGCGCATTGCAATGGATCTGTTCCTTGAGACATATGTTCCCAATCGAGCTTTACTACCTGGGAAACTTCCCGTCGTTATTCTAGCCTTATTACGCCTTAAACTGCACTCCCCTTGGGTTGTACTTGCTGGCTGGCTGGCTGCAATTTGTTGATCTAAACGACCTTTTTTCCACACGTCCCCCACTGAAGGTGCAGACATGCCCCTGAAACTACACCCAACCTCCCGAGTTCCCCGCACC